TGGTTTCTTGCTTGGGTTTTTGTTTTTTTTTCTGCCTCTAAAATATCCCTGTACTTGGATTCCACTCGCCTCACGTGCTCCAGGGAAGTGGATCTGACTCGTGGTAGGGATGAGTGTGTTCAAGGGATCATAGAATTTTAGGGGTTGGAATGGACCTTACGGATCATCTAGTCACAACCCCTCCTGCCCTGGCCAGAGACACTTCCCACCAGAGCAGGTTGGTCAAGGCTTCATCCTGCCTGGCTGTGAACACTGCCAGGCTTGGGGCAGCCACTCCCATCGCTGTGCCAGTGTCTCACCACCCTCACAGGAAAAAAAAACGTTTTCCTAACATCTACTCTAAATTTCCCCTCCTTCAATTTGTCCCCATTGCCCTGTGTCCTGTCACTGCAGCTCCTAACAAAGATCTCTGACCCTGTGCAAGATCCTGATTGGCTTCCTTGTCTTTAAGAACAGGAGTAGCTTCACAGGCTAACTCTGCTGGTCTAGTGACTGAAAATTCAAATTCATGCTGTCTGGATGGGACACATTCCAAATATTGAATATTCCTTAAAATCAAGGCCCTTCTTCCTTCAGAGCACAGATTCTTCTCCTGTCCTGCAGCACACTTTGCTATTCAAAGTGAAATACAGTTGTATTTCAAGTAATCTGACTTGTAGCGAGAAACATAACATGTTCTGGGTGTATTTCAGCTCTTGATAAATGCAATTTCTCTGTTTCTGCTGTAACCCTTGTCTGTTACCTGCTTGTATGTTCTGTGTACAGTGGTTAATCTCATTACAGGCATTACCTTATGGCATTAATGTTAATAAGTATGTGATAATGTGCAAATATGCCTGTAAAATGCTAAGAGCATCTCTGTCCTTGTTCCCTGTTATGGGGAAAGTTTTTCACTCTGCCTCAGGCAGAGTATTAACACACTACTTTTAATGCTGCCACACATGTAAGAGAGAACTGTTGCTGGCTCTCTGACAAATCTAGCAGAAGGCTGTGTAAACCACAGACTTTTGGATTGGTTTTCTATCACCTTCATTTGCACAAGTTCTTCTGGAACTTGAGTGTTATCTGTAACTATCAATGCAAAAAGTGCTTCTTGCAGGTTTAGTTCAGCCCTCCATGTGTGTATAGGGTGACAGTGAGCTCCCCTGTGTTCTCCTGGTGGGATACTTCTCTGTGAAAGGAGCAAGATATTGTTCATGTGAGGAGAGCAGTTAGTGTTTCCTCTATGGGAATACCTTTTGGAACACAAGTAGGATAGACTTGTTGGATAACCAGTGTTTTTCAACCTGTTTCGGGGTTAGATGGGTAATAATTAAATCTAAATTAGCACATAGGAGAGTTACTTTCTGAGGTGGGAAAGTCCTATGCTCTGTGTGTTACAGGAGTGCTTACTTTGGAGCAAGCAGAGCAGGGTGAGCCCTAGATGGGCTCCCTACAGAAGGTCTAATTTGTTTAAAGCTATTGAAGATGGATTCTTCATCTGACTTGGACATCCTAAACTAGATATTTAGTGACTTGTAGCCTGGCTTTTCTCTCCTGGCTCAACAGATAAGCCCAAGTGTGTCTAATTCTAATAGAGAAATAAATGAATCCACCAGTTGGTAGCTCTGGTTCTGCTGTAAATGTAGGCTTGTCTCATGTATGTGCTGTACTTAATTAGAAAAATCAATTTTTGGATTGCTGAATTGTTATTGCTGTATGCAGGAATGTGCGTACAGCATCCTGATCCCATTAAATGTGGTGCATTGTGAAAAGGTTGCTGGTTTCAAAGCTTGGTGCTTATATGAAGTGGATATGAGGGTGCCATAACTCCTATGTGCTTCTTTCACAGGCTGTGTAAGGTTCGAGACCTGAAAAAATGGCATTGGCAGCGATTGATCCACAGCAGGTATGTCTGAGTTGGCCCCATAAGTTTTGTCTAGATCAGAACAATAGGAGTCAACTAACACCTTTCTCTTTCAAACAGAACATTGTATCAAGGGTTGTCAACCTTCCCTTGGTGAGCTCCACCTACGATATGGTGTCCACAGCTTATATCACCACAAAGGATAACCATCCTTACCTGAAGTCAGTATGTGAGATAGCAGAGAAAGGAGTGAAGACAATTACATCGGTAGCCATGACAAGTGCTATGCCTATCATCCAGAAACTGGAACCACAAAGTAAGGCAGAGATCAAACTGTTGATGACTTTAATTCAACTGGTTGTTTCATATGTTGAGATGTGCTTACAGTTGAACACGGCCATGCTGTTCTGAGTGACTAAACCTGTTGCATGACTTGTTGAGTAACTGATTGCAGATGGGTATGACTTAAAATGAAAAAAAGAGAGAACAGTCCAGAGCAAAGCAGATTCCAGCTTTTGAAATACTAAACTGATTGACTCTTCTTGATGTGCTGGATGATTGCATCATCCTCACCTTTCACCTGGTTTCAAATGCTGCTGTTGTAGTTTCTGTCACTGAGCACTGGTAAAATTTGGAAGTTGAGTCACAAGGCTGTTGTAACCAGGCGCCTGCTGGCATAGGGCCACGTGTTTCAGCTTGTTCTAACAGTTGCTTGTAAATTATTGAATGGATTTTCTCTGCCTGCAAGTGAGGGGTTTTTTCCTGGCACTGTAAAATCTGCCTTGTTCTTGGGCTTTGCTGCCTCAAATCTCTCTGTAAAGGGGAGGAAACAAATTTAGGAGTATTGTCACATGAGCTCTTGTTTCAAGAGGAATTCTCAATTTGAGTTATTTATACTAAGGGGGGAAAATAATTAAAACCAACTCTTGTAATTTCTTTTGTAGTTGTAGTTGCCAACAACTATGCATGTATAGGTCTAGACAAAATTGAAGAGAGACTGCCTATACTGAATCAACCCAGTGACAAGGTAAGTTCTTTGATCTACATATGCCAAGTAGAAGAACCACCTTTTCTGTTACTGCTAAAACCAAGGAGACATTTCTTAAAGGCATGCCTGAAGCACAGCTTTGAAGCATTGAGAAAGTCAAAGGTGTATCTGTAGAACTGTTTGTTGCCTTTGGGAGGCCATTAAGCTGCTTTTCATTATTAATTTGCACACCATTTAACACCTCCATCTATAGGTGCAGTTCACTGGTGAGTGTCTTCTTTTAAAACTTGAGTCCTGGTCTCTTTCCTGCTCAATAGTGTCTGGATTACATTTACTGAAGTGTTTTGAGCTGAAGACTGCGTGGCAGTTGTATTTCATTTTGTCTTGTATATAGGTTTTCAGGGCAGAATTTCTCCTAGATAACTGATACTTGTATAAGCTCTAGTAAAAGTTTTGTATTTCCTGGATTACGTAGCTCTCTCTAGTAAATACTTTTTAGTGAATCAATCTGTTTCCTATGGCAGGTTGTTGCCAATGCCAAGGATGTAGTTGTTGGAGCCAGAGAAGCTGTAACAACCACTGTGACTGGTGCCAAGGAAACTGTTGCTCACACGATTACTGGAGTCGTGGGCAAGACTAAAGAAGCAGTGCAAGACAGCGTAGAAATGACCAAGTCAGTTGTCAATGGCAGCATTAACACTGTCCTGGGAAGTCGTGTGGTGCAGATGGTGAGCAGTGGAGTGGACAGTGCTCTCACTAAATCCGAGACCCTTGTAGACCAGTATCTCCCACTTACGGATGCAGAACTAGGTAAGAACAATTCAAGGTTTGGTTTTGTTGGAATGCTTATGTTGGAGAGAAGCAAGGAATCATTCATTTATTGCTTACTCATAGTGGTGGGGCATGGGAGCAGGTGCTTCCTGAACTGCCTTGGACCTTGCTGGTTTTAATAGCATCTTCACAGGGAAGCAGAGTTGAAAGTAAGGATTTGCACATATGGTGGTCTGTAAACCTACCCTGGTGCTGAAGGACTACTCAGCAAGTACAGTATCAAACTGTTACTAGGCAGATAAAATTGTCTCAGACCTCTTAAGTTTTCTTCCAGTGATCAATTTGCTTCCTTTTCACATACCTAGAGAAAGAAGCTGCAAATGTTGAAGGTTTTGAAGTTGGAGTTCAAAAGCCAAGCTACTACATTAGACTAGGATCCCTGTCTTCCAAGGTCCGCACACGTGCCTACCAACAAGCCTTAAACAAAGTTAGAGATGCTAAACAGAAAAGCCAGGAGACAATCTCTCAGCTCCACCACACTGTTAATCTGGTAAGTTTCAGTTTTCACTTCGGGTATAAAAAGCAAATGTTGGCATAGTTTTAGAGTGAAGAAGACAGCCAAAAGAAACAAAGGAAAACTGGAATTGCTCTGACTGAATGCATTTTCTAAATACAAAGCATTTGGCATTAAGAGATTTTTACCACCATTCAGGAGAGGTCCTAGATCAGGTTGAGCTGTAAACTAATGAGCAATTGCTTGTAACTAAGCACTGCAGAAATAGAAATGACATGTTTAAATATTCTTGGTTTTCTAGTGTTGGGTTTGGCACATACTTCATTCAGTGAGGAAAGGGTCTTGCAATTTAGAAACACTTCAGTCCTTTAAGTCCTTTTGTTAAAATTTCAGAATCTTCTGGGTCTTGCTGCTCTTGCTGTGGCTGTCTCTGAGCATTTCTGTGTACTTCATTGGTCTTATCCTAACAGCAGGATGTTACATACAGGACAAACTGTGCATAAAGAGTCATGGCCTTCTATAACCTTTCAGTTCCTTTTATAGGATACCAGGGAGGGAGGGAGAAATAGTTGAGGCAGAGGGGAGCACTACATAACATCTCAAAAGTGCTTCCAGTTTTCAGTTCTTCAGAGAGAAGAAAAACATTGTTATACTCCTCAAAGTCTTTTTTACTGAACTTCTGGAGTATTTAAAAAGGAGGTTACAAAACAATCAGGGTAGGATAGCTCTAATAGAACTGTTTGGATTCTTTGCTCTACTTCCTTATTTGGCTGTATTTCAGATCGAGTATGCCAGAAAGAACGTGAATAGTGCCAATAAGAAATTTCTTGGTGCTCAGGAAAAGCTTTATCAGTCCTGGGTAGAATGGAAGAAAAATACTGGCCAAAATGATGGTGATGAACTGCGTAGTGCTGAGGTAAATAGATGTAAATATACTCCAGAAATATATGGATTGTGTACTGTCAAGGTAATGGCAGTCTAACAGTCCCCAAAGTGTGCAGCAGAGAAGCTTCTATGCAAATGTGGAGTCTGGATGCTGAAGCTCAGGGCAGTTGGCTAGTTAAAAGTAGGGGAATCAAACTCTTAAATAAGCCTACTTCCTGCAAACACTATGGGGCTCATTCTCCTCTCACAAGAATGCTTATCCTGATTAGCGTGTGAACCTGTTTTGGGATGTCCATATGTAGATCAGCTAGAACTCACTTACATGACATATCCAGACCAGAAATAACAATTTGTCGGCATAAAAGCAGTTTCAGGCACAGACTCCCTTGGTCCTACATGTAGCTTTAAATAGAGGTTTATGGATTAGATACATTTAGTTTACTTATTACCCAGAGTTGAAACAAGAGTCTACTTGTCTGTTGCTGGGTAGAAGGTACCAATGTTTCTGTTTACAAAGTACTTGAAGAAATACCAAGTTCTTTGAAAAAGTCTGTGACTCTTCAGACTTAACACCTGGTTTATCTGCTATAGCTTTATTTCCTTACATCCCCTTTACATTACTTCTTTATGTATCTTGTGCAACATAAAGCTGCTACAGTCAGAAAAAGACACTAATGTGCTGTTCTGCATTTTCTTTTCAGCACATTGAGTCAAGAACTCTAGCTATCGCACGGAGCCTCACTCAGCAGCTTCAGACCACCTGCCTCACACTGGTCTCAAGCCTACAGGGGCTGCCACAGAATGTGCAGGAACAGGTTTACAGTGTTGGGTCAATAGCAGGCGATGTCTACCAGAGCTTTCGGTCAGCGTCCTCCTTCCAAGAATTATCAGACAGCTTTCTGACAGCTAGCAGGGGACAGCTGAAGAAAATGAAGGAGTCTCTGGATGATGTGATGGATTATCTTGTTAACAACACACCGCTCAACTGGCTGGTAGGTCCCTTTTACCCACAATTGCCTGGCATTCAGCATGCTGAGAGCAAAGGTGAAGGGGAGAAAGATTCCAGCCAGAAAGACAAACAGCCTGAACACACTACTGAATAAACTGCGTAGAATGCCTGTGCTCTGCTGGCTGACCAAACAAGTGGCCTTACCAACTGTAGCTGTCAAAAAAGCCTTGGTGGAAAATCCATAAATAGAGGAGTAGGGGAATCTACAGAGGCAGGACACTCTTAGATGTTGGCTGTATTGTTCTGTGTAGTTAAGCCACTCTGAGAGCTCAGACTGTCTAAAGTGCCTAAGAACTGGCAGCGTACAGTTGTCAGGATGCCTTGTTTGTCTGTCAAGAAACCTCACCATGCTTAACAATGGTACTAATACCATTAGTCTAAATAAAACATATCACAGCTAAAAGCCTTTGATTTATTGCATAATTTCTACTAGAATGATATAAAAGCCTTACTATGAAATGCATTTAAAAGCTCTGCAGTCTAGCTAGGTATACTTAAATGCCAATTTTGCTGCAGATCAAACACTTGGTAATTATGGATATCTCTGCCTTAGATTCTAGTGCTACATAATTCATGACAAAAGTTCAGTGAGTGCAGAATGCCAAAGCTGAAAGTGGGGTTTCTGAATGAGTCAGCTGGAGTTCAAATACTGTGACAGTGGTAACATTAACTGTTTAAACCTAACTCATGTATAACACAGTAACTTGGCCACAGAATCATAGAAATCTGAAGTTATGAGGGACACAAGCATCATCAAGTGCAACTCCCTGCTCCTTGCAGGACTGTCTAAAACTAAACCATATGACCAAGAGTGTTGTCCAGATGCTCCTTGAACTCTTGACAGGCTTGGTGTTGTGACCACTTCCCTGGGGAGCCTGTTCCAGTGACCAACCAAATAATAATCAATACATTTTTAAATATGCAGTATAAAAGCAAGTTTCATGCTGTTTGTACCCAGCTGCCTGCTGTTGTGTGGGTGTGGTTTTTTGTAGCCATCCTTTTGTATTTCATTTTGTATGTTAGTAATAAATGCTTCAGTAGCCAAAGTCTGTCTCCATTTCAGTGGTGTTGTAGAACGATGTAACTTGCTCTTCTGTGAGGCCTGCAGGCTGGGTCTGCCAGAAAGCAAGCCTGACATGCAAGTGCAGTAGACATGCACGGAAGATGTGTTTGTGTATGTATAGATAGCTAAGATAGTGCTGCAGCATTTCCCTCTTCCCTCTGTCTGTGAATCAGTTTCTGTGTATCCCTCCACTGAGTCTTAGCTTTAGTGCTGCTTTTTTGTTGCTTGCTGTTGTCCACCTTTTAATGATGACCTAAGCTGTGAGCTGCTGGATGGTCTCATGTTGAGAAGAGAAGGATGTGGACAAAACCCTCTCCTGCCTTCACAGTAGGTGTTCTGTGTGCATGAGACGGCCATCTACCTGCTTTGTCTGCTGGCTCCCCATAAATAGTATATACTCAGCTGCAACACCAGTTTTAACTTGTTTAACTTTATTTACTCTCTTTTAAACTTGAGTGACAAATGTACATTAGCACTCAGCTACTTGGGTGGAGTTGTTCCTCAATAAATCCTGTGAACCCCTCCACTGGAAGAGAGTTACAGTCGCTAAGAAATAAGCTTTCTTGGTTTAGGGCTGTCCAGGTAAGTCTTATGTGTGTTTCTAATGCATGCCATGTACAACTTTGAGTTGCAACCATTTAGTTAGCAATGCTGGGCACGATTTTCAAAGAGGTCACCGAATAGCGTGAAGCAAAAATGGAGTTCAAAGGAATACACAGTGACATGTTGCTATATGTGGAACCTTACCTCCACCTGGCACATTGTGGGCACTGAAGCAAATTACATGTAGTCTAGCCTTTAATGTCAGAGAGCTTGCTTAGCTGTTAAGTCAGGGTTGGTCTAGGAGTGTGAGGCAGATGCTGTTTTAAGCACAATATTAAACAAAACAGTAACAACAGAGAATTACAGATAAAGATTCTGTAATTCCCAGCTTTAAATGCTTCCTTTTTATAAGGGAGATGTTTAACATGAAATTAATGTGAGATAGTAAGATATACTCCTTTCCAGCTAGGGCCTAAGTTAAGACTCCTGGAGTGCTTTCAGCAATTAATTTCACTTTAAGTTTACTTTAACTACTGCATGAGTCTAGCCAGAGAATATCCTTTGATCTCCATTTGTAATAAAATTTGTAATAAAATTTGTAATAAAATCTACCACTGTAGATGTGCACAGGAACAAAATGGCTGTTCAAAGAAGGGAATTCCCATTCTTCCATGTATCTCAAAATATAATTGCTCTGGGACTTAATTCTGAGGAGATGAATCAAATAAGATACTTGAATTTTTCACTATCTTTTGGGGATCATCTAGTATTAGTGCTCAAACAGTACATCTCTCTGTTCTGCCTTAAGTTGCCCTACTGGTGGCTGTTCAGCTTTACTGCATGTCAGTAAGCAGGTGAAGTGGAAAGCAAGGAAAACTTAGCAGCCAAGACCTTCACTTTGCCCTCATCATGCACTGTTGGGTGGATTCCGTGTAAAAAGTTACTTTGACTGCTTACAGCTGGTGGCTGCAAACAGCAAAGCCTGGTTAAATGGTTTCCTAAGGGTTGGGCTAGGAGCCTGTTACACTGAAATGCTGTATGGAGGTTTCTCTACCATGCATGCTATGGTGGTACGTGGTTTGTTTGGATGCTGCTCACCCTACAAGGGTTTCTTTCCACACCTCACTCCTCCTGCAATAGAATTAGGAACCTTTCCTTAGAGGAAGAGAAGGCTGAATAACAGCAAAAAGGTATGTTCCTGGTTTATTATATAAAATTCTCCTGACCGAGGTTATTAGACTCTGCTAGTGTAAGGACAGCACGGAGTGTTTAAACTGAATTGCAGCTGTAGCTTGTATGGTATCTTCTTGCAGGTAGTGTAGCACAGCATGTCCCATGTTGTAGTTTTACCTGCAGATCTACAGACAGAACTTGGTGTTTTTCTCTAGCCAAGTTAGAGAGTGACTATTAAAATACCCACTGGAGGCAAGAATGGCACAAACACCTTCCAAAGCCATCTTTGGTTTTTTGCCACTGTTGTTTTTGACTGAAGCTGAAGTGCTTCCTCTCAAAGGAGGGAAACCTAAGATATTATCAGAGCCCAGCTGCTTATTAATTTTTCCTGCCATCTTACCTGTTTATAATTGCACATAATGAGCAGCTCAGCTACACTGCACAGAAAGTTGCTTGCATGGACTAAGAGGCTATAGTTGTGGCCTGGAAAGCTGTGAAATTTCTCTGGAACCTTTTAAAAAAGGTAAGACCAGGTATGTTGAAAATTAGAGAAAATAGATGAACCTGTTTGCAGCAAAGCAGATAAACTGTATGAAATGGAAGAATATCAAAGGCTGCTAGTCACACAGGACCTGGAATGGCAAAAGTTAGAATACTAACATAATTATCACTTGTTATTTAGGGTTTATTTAGACCTCTGAAAATTGTTTCTCTTTAAGAGAGCACTAAAACATTGTTCATGCTAGCTAACCCTGTCTCTTTCCAGCCACATTTAACAGGGAACTGTTGTTCTATCATTGCTGTTAATCCTTTGCTACAAAAGCTTTAAATATAAGCATTTGTAAATAGATCCGTATGATATACAAGTTTTGCAAACATAATACCTATAGCATTGATCAGAGCCAAATGACAAGATCTGTGTAAGGACCAGAGTTGCAGCTAGTTTGCCTCAAACTAAAAAAAGGTGTAAAGCTTTTGAAGTGTCTCCAGTTCTGCAAGATGAGGTGTTTTTGCCATATTCTTTTCCAGAATTCAACAGTATAGGTAGTAAAATAGGTGAAGGGATTTGGGAACAACTGATGAATTATTTCTTGTTATTTAGAAAAAGGCAGTAACAACCAACCAAAAACTTACTTAAACCATCTAATTAAAAAGATATTTATTTTTAGCATGATCTGTTAGTAATTTGCTTGATCAGAAAGCCTCACATGCCAGAGCTGGCTGGAGGTATTGTGCACAGTGTTTCGTTAAATGTATTTCTTTCCATACTGAGATGGCAGTTTTATTTCCTTTGGGTAATACAGTATCTGATGACTGAAAATAAGTGCTTGTTCTGAAAGTGCACAAATTGAGAACTGTGTGTCAAAGTGCTGGTGGCTCAATTCAGAAAACAGATTTGGCAAGAAAAAAAATGGATTCAAGTTGTTAGCATTGACATTAACATTTGCATATGAAGACAGCAAAACACCAAAGTAACTTTTGCACTATTCCATGGCATGAAGAAGAGTCATATCTGGCCTTATTCTTTGTTGCAAGAATTGACAGGAAGTTGGAACAGAGCAGTAAGTCAATTGTGAAAAGTGGTGTGGAAGTGAAGGTCCTTTACCTAAGCAAACCCATACCACCTAGGGCTTTGCATTGTTGTAGTTAGGCTGGTGTGGATGTCACAGTATGTGATTTTAATGCAATTTAGCTTGTTCAAAATCATAAATCATACTGACATCCACACTCCACTTTGAAATTCTTCCATGGCTATGAAAATCTTACTGTAATGGAGTCAGTGTTTCTACTGCATATTTCTAAGTCTTCAGTGCCCTATGACTGCCTACTCTGTAAGAAACTGATCCATGTTCAGTGCTTCAGTGCTGTCTACAACCTGCTAGCTGAAACACTGATCCTTTTATCATTTGATATATTCTCTGCCTCTTCTGACAGGAGGCAAAGCATAGATATTTTTTTTTTTATTGCCTACTGTTTTTCATAAAAGTAAGTCATAAGGCGTTTTGCAGTTAGAAAATGGTTTAAAACTGCTTCTCTAATCAGCACTGAGAAGTTACAGAAATGCATAGAAGCCTCTTCAAGTTGCTGCTGATTTGCAGAACCGAAGTCCTGTCAGCATGCAGCAGTTGTTTGCTGATACTGTGTCTGGCTTCATGTCACTTCATCAACATTAAAACTAACCACAAATCAAACTGTAGATGTAAGTAGTTTTCACTTGGGCCAAAAAATTTAGGGTTATCAGTAAATTGCTTACTTATATCCCATTTTTCAGAAGTGCCTGAGTAATCTAAGACCTACTAAGGGGACTTAAGGGTTGGGACTTAAGCTCCTAAGTGTCTTAGCCAACATTTTTAGAAGTGTATAACATCCATCTAATATCTTGGCAATTCCTGAAACCTGGTACTTCTTTACAGTACAGAATACTACACATGCAGTTAAAACAGAGGCTATGGTGAGATTGCAGTTGCAGGTATTGTTTCCTCAGGAAAGGTCTAATGCAGTAGGCAGGCAGAGCAGGATGGAGCAATCTCTATCAATTGCCTCAGGGCAGATTACTTTGTATAATCCATTGCTTCTGCAGAGAGAAGAAAGGCAAAATAAGTTTTAAGAACCTCCTTTCTTAAATACAGTCCAGTAAGTTCAGATCCATTCCATCTCTGCTTTAAAATCCTGTCTTCTAAGCAGCTGATTGACATTTCGTGCATTATTTGGTCTGTCTTCATGCTATGTGTTTCATATGTGACTGAGCATATTTCACTCTCTAGTCAGTATATTGGTTCTGCTTTCTAAAGATGCTGAGCATCTTTGTGTCCTGACTCCAGGGAGGAATACTGCACAAATTTATTTAGTTTTGCTTTTGCTTCCTGGGAACAGTTGCTAACACTCACTTAAATTTTCCCTACTGGACCATAGCCAAGTTAATCCAAATTGATTGAAATTTCATTCCTACACAGGTTCCAGATTTCACTATTACAGACCTGTCTTCAGAGTCAGATGATATCCCAGACATTCTGGATTTGGATGAAGAGGATCAACAAGATTTTTCACGCACAAATGGCCCGTACACTACAGGGCAAAGAGCTGAATAGAGAAGCATAAAAAATGTCTTTCTGATACAATGTACCTTTGCCATGTTTAATTTAGATTTCTCCTTTTTAAAGATGAACCTGCCTAGCTTAGGTATTATGGGGCTATTTTTAAAAAAATCACTACTGTTTTGCTTAGCTGCATCAAAAATCTGAGTTTTTTTCTACATAATGAATGCATGTGACATTGATTCATTAGCATGGGTGTCAAGCTCCCATTCCACCAGCCAGGTATAGTCTAACCAGCATATCCAACTGATCTAATTTTGTTAATGATTTGTTCACCTGCTGGTAGCAGCCATGAGAACACTTCAGTGCTTTGCATAAAGGGCTGCCAACAAAAGGAGTTGATGATTTGCCCACAAAATTTCCCCTTTCAGGCTACGTGAAAAGCAGTTCTGCATCTACCTCGTTGCTGCTGGAAGGGGTAAGAGACTTTATCTCAGATTTTGTCAGGCTGTTTTTGTTAGGCTCTGAACCTAGAGCTTAGAAGCTTAGAGCTTTCCTTTGGCAAGAGTGCTCTATGCACAAAAGGACTCTCTTTCTCTCCACATGCCTTTTGTGTGCGAAATATTTTGGCCATCACAACGCTATCAGTTGTGGCACCTGAGACTAGAAGAGAGCACGTGCTTAAAAGTGAAAGTTTTCCAAGAGTAAGAACGGCAGGTAAAAAATGAAAAGGGGATGAGGCTGTAAAAAGTGAGGAAAAACAGAGGGCACAGAGCTAGAGACATGGGAGAAAATTAAGGAAAAAAGAACAGAACAAAAGAGGGGAATGAACGTAAGGACAGCACTGGTGACAGATTATTTTCTTTGTATTTAAATGAAGTCTCAATCAGCTGCTCGGTAAGGGATGTTGACCCTGCACTTGCTCGCACACAGTGAGCTCCGCAGGGGCGGGGGCAGCGGGACGGGGGCAGGCTGGCCGCCTCAGGGATCCCTCAGGCCGCACCTCTGTGCCGACACCTCGCACACTCGGGCCGCTGCGAGAACTTCCAAGTCTAGTCACTGAAATGCCTTGGAATAAACGTTTGAACCGCACCGTTCCCCAGTGAGAGTTTTCCTTGGGGTTCGTTCGGTTTTGGTTCGTTCCGCAGCCAGAGGCGCGGGCGGGTTTGGCAGCACTGCAGCTCCCGTTGGGCCGCGCGGTCCCGCGCACGGGAGAGTTTGGCGCGCCGGA